TGACTGAAGAATGCACTTCACAAAGTGCACTTTCTATTGTTGAGAGATGGTATCTACCTACCAACATTTATGCCCGATTATTCTGATTGAAACGTCTAGCGTCAAAAAGGAAACTTCTGACGTAAGACTAACCCTATTGTTGAGATCGTATTCATAACTAGAACGCAATTTTTGGCTGATTTTCTGTTCGGCTGCCGAAACGACATTCATTTCAGATGCTTTCACGGTGACCGTTCGTTCCATATGCATTGCCATATCAGCTGCATATAACGGTGGGGCAGTACCATAACCTGGTAGCATGCCGAACATATCACGTGCTGGTTCACTGAAACAAACAAAATATGGCAATGAAAACAACAGCCGAATCCTCCCATTCGAAAAGGGACGTGTCTCCCTCATTAAAACAAATATTTCCATTATTGCTATTTCCGTACGAGGGCAGATGCTTTTCAAAAACTCCACACCATTTTTTCACAAATGACACAGCAATGAGAGGAACACACCAGGTAGACAATTCGAGAAAAACACAATGACTTCCGTCGCGGAGAGATGAGCAAAAAATGACGCTGAGCCTGAGCAACAAACTAAGTCTATGGTCAAGCCTAACCTCAGTCACAATCTCATCATAAGCCTAAGTTTCGAACTCAGTGTGATTGGGTGGTGAGTAGCGATCAATGTTTTAACCTTCTATGCTTTACGATTCTGAACAAACTGACACCGTTTGACAAAACATTTGGTTGCAAATATCATAGCTCTTTGAAGGAGCATTTGCTATAGTATATGAGCACATAGTTATCACTTGATTTGACAAAACATTTCGGTTTGATATCAGTGAAATGGTAGTTGCATATATTCGGAGGTGCATTACTTTATCTAGAGCGCAATCGAAATGAAGCACATTTCGAAACTGCAGTCAGAACCGTAGACGAAAATTTGGAGAATGCGNGAATCTCTCGTATGGCCCCCAATCTTTGCTTGTATCTTGGAGAATAATTTCTCAATGTTTTTGGGGCATTCGAAAGGTGCTTACTTAAGAATATCTCCACTCGCGCGTATGCACTTTCTCCCGCACCCGCGAAACAGATGATTCATCGCCTCGGAACTTCCTTCCTTTACGGGAGGGGTGGATTTCCTCCCGAATACTAGTTCATACCTATTCTTGCTGTGTTCGAAAAGAACTGATCACCTTCATAAGTAGACATACAAGCAGTAAACGAACGTAACCCTAACGCGAATAATTCAGATTCAAAAACCCGAATAAGAACTAACTTTGAAACGAAAACAACTGCGCCAGTTTCTTCCATAATTTTCTTGATTGTCGCACCTCCTTTGCCAATTAAGCGACCAACCAGCTGATTGTGTACACGAATTTTCAGTTCAATTTCCGGGCTGAAATTCGTTGTTGACAGATACATACGACACCACCAGTTAAACAACAAACTGGTTCGTCATTTAGAATATGAAATGAAGTGACGGCATGTGACACTGTGCCCGTGTACGATAGCACTATGACGAGAGCAAAACGCTTGTGAGTTAACAATCAACATTCAAGGAGTGATTGTTCAACTTTACTGACCAGGATGCGCATCATCAAACCGAACACATTCAAAGAATAAACAGAAACGAACTGTTGTGCAGCAGTAGAGTCTTTTTCCATTTCTCGCCTCACCACTTCAAGAATTTTGACACACGCCTTTGTACAATTCTCTGGCTGTCCCATTATCGATATCACCTGAACCACTCGAANCGGCAGCCACCAATTTTTTCACATTTAGTTCGCATTAAATTTACCAACATCAAATTAGTTCAGTACGCATTAAAAGCGTTTGAAAAAGGAACATTGTTGAGTGAACGTCTAGAAAGCGCATCGAATGCGAAAGGATCAACAAACTTTTTCTGCGTTTCCCGCCGGGTCTCTAACGGCCCTTTGTACGTCAACCACACAGCGTGCTTTTGATTCCTTGGTAATTTCACGAATATTCGAACCTCCTTGACCAATAATAGCACCAACGTATTTCGCATCCACTACTATTCGCAAAGGCATATCCTTAATTCAAATTGGCATTAATATTGCCATGAGAATAATAATGAACGAACCTGGGATGGTAGTGCACGATGATGTGGTGCCAACGAAGTAAGAGTATGGATAGGAGCACCAGCGGTGTTAAGTGAGTGTTGCGCATCACCAGAAGCGGACATATTGCCAGCGTGCTGCATCTGTGCGTGTGGGTGTTGATGGGCTGGATGAGCGCCCGGATGGTGTGCTCCTGCTGGGCCTGTCGATGCGCTTAACGCTGCACTCTGATGCAGCGGAACCGGACCACGATTCATGCCACCGCCCTGATTCGCTCCGGTTGTGGCCGCACCACCCGCACGACGCTGTTGTTGTTGTTGTTGTTGTTGCATGTTACCTGGACAATCATACCAACTCTCCAATACCTTTCACATTATTCAATCACTCAACAATACAGCAGCTCAGCACTCGAACACTTGCANTGTGGCCGCACCACCCGCACGACGCTGTTGTTGTTGTTGTTGTTGTTGCATGTTACCTGGACAATCATACCAACTCCAATACCTTTCACATTATTCATTCACTCAACAATACAGCAGCTCAGCACTCGAACACTTGCAATTAATTCATCAATTAATGAGAACAAAGATGATAACAAGAACGAAATTAAATAACATGTTGTAATACCACTGCCTCCGACCACCGGGCGACTGTATTGAGCAGGCGCTTGCTGATAGGCGATCTGTTGAGGCTGTGCTACCGGTTGATAAGTACCTGTAATGTACAACTGCGTGGATTACGCGCAACACTATTCGTTTGCACAGATTGCTGCCTATGTGTTGACACAGCCTTAACAAGCGTTCGCTTCGCTAGCCATTACGGATTCATTCCATCGATTGGTATGGTAACGTTTACTTGAATCTTGTCAACACGTATCCATCATACGCTCCTCTAGTTCAACGGCGAAACATTTGAAATTCGATAAGATCGAAATGATGTTAATTCATCGATTGATGATGGACAATCGAAACTTTGAATTGTGATTAAATATGAAATGAAAGATAACCTGTCAGATAAGGTGGCTGATTTGAATAAACACTAAATGGTGACGTGCTATAAACGTGCTGTTGCTGCTGTGCCTGGGTAGGTCTATTTGGGAAATGTTGCTCCATCCACTACACACTACGCGCCCCAAACAACAGTCCTCAATTGCTCGGGTCGCACAAACAAGGCACTAACTCTGAATTATCACATCAAATCACATACCAATATCACTCATTATCCACTCTCGAAATTAGTAAGAAAAAAGAAGTAACAATTTTGAAATGAACATCAAAAAGACGATTATTCGCAGACAGAATTTGCACTGAAAAATTTCAATGGAATGAATCAAGCAGCAATCCAGACGATCGAAATACTTAATTCATGCGTTTACATATGAATAATGCCTCGATAACTTTGCCCATATGACATAAAAGGGCTTCACCACTGATATGAGATCCAAATATTCGATCGATTTTTTTGCAACACACCG